TAAATAAATAAATAAATAAATGAATAAATAAATAACGATTAATCGATTATGTATGCTGTATGTGGTGTTGTACACAACCTCACTCAAAATGATGGGATAAAGACCATTAGAGCTTAGATCAGGCCTAAAACCTGAGCCAACCTGAGCCCACAGACTTTGTGTCCGAGTCTGAAACAACCCAACTAATAAACTCTAATTAGAGGCCAGAGTCTGAAGTAAACCCCACATATTATTTTATTATTACCATGTTTATGTGTGTTTAATGTGATCCCCATTTTTGAGCTTAAAATACATAAAGAAAAATCTAATCCTCGTATATAATGCTGTCCCTAATTTCATTCAAACTTCTACGTTTCTTTTCATCTCTGCATCACAATAAAAAAAAAGAAAAGGAAAAAGAAAAAAGTTTTACCTACGACTCTGGTTTGAAAAAAAAAATATAAATAAATAAAAAAACAACAACCACTATTCTTGTTTATATGCAACATACAGCAGTGGAAATTATGATGATTTATTCCCTGCAAAACAATATTTCAGTTCTAGACAAGAAAATATTAAAACTTACTGTGGTAGGACACTGTGGATATTTTARCTTCAATAACTAAACACTAGTTACAGTTACAAAAATCATGACTGCTGAAGTTAAAAAYTTAGATTAATAACTTTAAAATGAGACCAAACAAAGGGTTCGAGAGCAGTACTTCATTTTATTTGTGTACGCTTTTTAAAGTGTTTTAAGAAATTTTAGACCTGACAGTTTGTGCAGGTGAAGTACCATCTGAGTTTTTACTAAAACTAGAGGAAACAAGCACAGAATCTCACCGTCGTGTCCCTGCTGGTAGGTTCTGGTCTCCTCCTCCACCTGGTAAATGAGGGGCTTTCAGTGTCGACAAGTCAATTGGTTTGTTGTCACAGTCCACGACCATCTCTCCATCTGATGGGGACAAATAATGAAATGTTTAAAACAAAAGACATGGACAGAAAAAGATTTCTGACTTGTGTTTATTAGGGGTGTAAGAAAATATTGATACACTGAAATATCCTGATATTTCATTTCCCGATACTGTATCGATATTGTAAAGCCCTGTATTGATTTTTTATTAAGGTTTAAAACATCAACATTCCTGCCAACGGTTCATTTTTATGTTGTAGTTCAGCCTCTAGTTGGCAGCAGTGAGCCAGCCATTTGGCTCCTCTACCTCTTGAGCGCCAGAGAGTAAGGGTAGCATTAGCATTGTGGGTAAAGCTAGCTTCATGCTCCGATAGCTGAATCTGAGCGGAAAAGACCAACACCCTCTGCCTTCTAAGCTGAGGTAAGGTTACAAAGTTACTTATTTATCAGAATGTCTGTATTTTAAGCCAAATTAAGTGTTTTGTGCGCTCTTTTTTCCAACTGTAGTCACGTCACATTTCGTTACATAGGGCAGGCAGGCAGGCGTCTATCCCCTCKAGCGAGCACGGCACTCCCCCCGTGACATAAAACTCTGTCTGTTGCTCTCAATGTCCGGCTGATCACATC